TTACCTGTTGTCTTTTCTTTGGCATCTAATGGTGTGACACCAGCCAAGATGCACCTGACATTACCTCACAGCTGGCCCGGGCCAATGCCAGACACATCAGCCTCACAGTCATCCCACTACATGGTCCTTGTGTGGCAAAGCCATTCTGCATGCTGCATGCCTGAGGTGTACCATTGGTTATCACTCTTGGATATTACTATTAATTCCGTTAATTCTTAACTAGGCTAGTACTGGATAACAATTTAAAACCCTCACATAAGATAATTCCCAATGCTTTGTCACTAAAATAACAATGTTTATATTACCTTGTTTAAGGACTTAGGAACATCCTTCAAATCCACACTGAAAAAGTTCCCAACAATAGGCAGTGGGAAGGGCCCCGGGGGCAGGTTCCAGCTGCTGAGTATCTGCCTCCAGAAGGATATGACCAGGAGGGAGACCATCCACACCAGTAGAGCCACGGTGATACCAAGGGCAGCCATGGCATCTGGGGTCCTGGGCTGACTTGTAGGGATGACCTGCATGGAAAGCAAGACTTTTATAATGCATTATTGAGAGGAGGGTGACCCACAGACCAATGACACTTGCTCTTTCCCTTGGCCCCAGGGATTGGCTGGTTATTAGCTGCTGCTGGGCAGCACTTCAAAGTGTGATCCCTAGAGTAGTTGCCTATTGGAAGTTGCATCTGTGGTTTGGCAAGGATGAGGCTGGGTTTGCCAATATGTGATCCTTGTCACATTGCCAGTAAACACATCAACCATTCACCAGCCCATAGGCCAGTCCTGGGGGTGGGAGACTGCCCTCCCCCTTGATACAGCAAGGGCATTCAGATCATGTTTACATGAGTTTGATGGGGTAGGGTTATGTAATGTAACATCAGGCAAGTGTGACGGGTCCAGACAGTCTAGAGGTTAAGTAGTGCAAACATCTTTTACCTTCCAATCAGAATTGTCTTAGCTGCCCCAGGACACTTGGATCATCACTTGGAAATTGTGGAGAAGGGAAAATTAACTTATGAGCCCTCTTCCAATTTGGGAAATCAACTAGAAAATTCAGTGGGAAGAAAAAGCAAAGAAAGGCAGTTGACTAATTTTTAGAGTTAGTCTCTAGGTTTAAAAGGTACACCAATATACATAGTATGTGCCTTTTGCTGAATATATGCATGTAACTCTAGCTAATATGTGCATTTGTGTGTGGAGGGGGTCTATATAGTACTGAGGCTCTAACCTGAGGCCTTATTCAGGTATATAACTTGTAAAGGTCATAATTTTGTTGTAGAGAATTAAGTGGAAATCTTTCTCCATTATCACTCTTTCTTTTTTAATTCAATTTCATTGTAAATGTGATACACAGAGGAGTTGCAGTTACGTAAGTAATGAGGACATTTCTTGTTGAACCTGTAACTCCCCTAGTGTTCTCCCACTTCCCCCTACCATCCCCGCCCGCTCCCCATCCCCTTCTCCCGAATTTGTAAAGGTCATTTCCAACATCATGTCTTTTGGGTATCTCTGTTGCCCTGGCTCACCTTTTGTCCTTGGTTATTACCCTTTGTTATTACCCTTTCCTTCCCCAAATCAGATAAACTTATATACAAGAAATGGATAACAAAATCATAATCATTGACTGTTGGGAGCCGACAGTAAAGCTCCAAGGTCATCTTGACCCTTGTGCTCACTTAAAGGCACATACAAGGAACTGGCTTTCATGAAAAACACCAGGTGTCCGGGTTTGCCTTGCTATGTCTGTAGAATTTGTTTTACTTTCTATCAGTTGACCATGTCTTGTTTCTTTCTGCACCCTTGTTTTTACTAAAGACGTTTCTTGCTTTTCTGCACTATGGTGACCTTAAGTTACCTCTTGACTTCTAATAGTATAAATAAGGAGAGTTAAAAATAAACGGGGCTGCAGTCTTGAGCTGCAGACCTCCCGACCCCATCCTTTGTCTTATATCTTTATTTTTCCATCCTCGCCCCCTAAATCAGGAGTCCCTTTGGTTGCCGGCTGGTTCCGGCAATTGGCGCCC